GCTGAAATACCTTGCATTACAGCTGAAATGAGTGTTTTTCCAAGACCTGCCTTTGGCCCACGAAAACAGAATCAGTGGTCATGTCTGAAGGGGTATTGAAGGTTCATTGGATTCATTCCTCCAGTGCCACACTGACCCTTTCTTACAGACTGCAATGGAACATTGCTGCACTTACACAAATGGCATTTTACAGGTATTAACTTCCTAAAATGAACTTCTAAAATATCTCACCAACTTTGTTCTTTTCAGCTCTGCTTTTACATTTCTGATTATTTCTCACGTTTTCTAATGTTTTCTGTTTTAAAAGGTCTTCAGAATACATTCAGTAAAATGTTACACAGACATGAAAACACTTTCTATACACTGCAGACAGTCAATTATCTATGATTCAGCTTGAGTGAAAAAGAAAAAGGATACTGCAAGCATGATGATTTCACATTGCTTGATGATTTCACATTGCTTGCTAAAACTAAGGCTTGCTGGTATTTTCACCTGCAAACTTGGCTTCTTTTTCCCAAGAGTGGGCTGGAAATACTACTGTGTAATATAGTTGATCAATATTTTTTTTAATAGTAAGTATTCCATAGACAGCTAAGCTGGAGAATTATCCAGGGTGGTGCTTTCAAAAGCAGCTTTTATTCATTGTGATTAAACTACTTTAGGAAAGTTTTTGCTTTCATACCTAAAAGACTGGGCAGCGAAGTTTTGAACCTTGATTTTATAGGGTAACTCCTTTTTGTTCCCCACATGTGGAGTTTCTCTGTCTACACACAAGAATCAATGAAAGGGAATGCTCAGGTGAGTAAGAATTGCAAGTCTTCTTTTTAATTAAAAAACCTATGCTACACATACCACAACATCATCCCACAAATTTTATCTCAACTGTGACATCACACACATACATCAAAATAACCCTAAATCCACCTAAACAAACATGAATCCATAGAGCAGTGGGAAAATATTTTGACCTTTTCTAGACATGTCTTGAAAATGTTTTCAAGGATTCATAGTCAGGCCTTACCCATCTGACAGTGCCACTGATGATACCCCAGGAGTGGGACTAGTATTTAGTGGCACAACTCTTGTGCATTACCTGAACAGGTTTATGCCTCTGCAGCAAATACTGAACAGACTGACCTCCCAGTCAATTCCCAATTGGAATCAATTGCAGCACACAGTTAGTACCAGCTTACAGTAGGAACACAGGGTTTACTCAGGCTTGATTTTTCTGGGTGAATGTCTGGCACTTTGTGCAACACTTGACAGTAAGATGAGATCTACAGCAGTGGAAATGACAAGCTTACATACTTTGGAGTGTATTTCTCATCCAAGAGCACTTCCAGCTCTCAGAGTGCTCTCAAAGAGCACTTCCAGCACGAGCCAGCTGCCTGTGTAAATTGTAGGTGAGTCCTCACTGACCTAATCACACTGGTAGAAATAGGAGGCCATGCTGAAAAAGTCTTCTGTCAGTGCACTCGTTGAGGAAAGATTAATGGGACTGACATGGGTGAGAGCAAAGATAAAGCTGAAAGCCAAGACTAACACATCAAAACATGCATCAGCAAACCAGAATATAAGAAAAGTGTTTTCTTCTATACTGTCTAGTTCCCTGTCCAGAACTACAGATTTACATGAGATGTTACCTACAACTCAAACACAGGGAAAAACCACAATCTCTAACAAATACTTTGACTTTTTGGGTTCAGAGCTGGGACTTCCTGCTGGAAGACAGACCAGAGAAGAGAAAGAGTAGTATAGAAAGAGCATTAAACTTCTCAGATTGACATTCAAAACTGCTACTAACTTCTGGGTGACTGACAGCAAAGTGAGAACTGGCAGCATTTCCATCAAAGAAAAATCACTGCATAGCCTAGTAGAATATTATTTTAAGGTATGACTTCACTTATTTGAAAAACAGGATTGACAAATGCTATTTGTGTCCTGGATCCATTTTGAAGTGTTTCCACTTTTTAGCAGTAACTTCAGCTCCAGGCAGAATGCTTGCTGCTGCAGAACACAGGGAAGTCATGGCCTCGGGAGCATGGCTGCTGTAGGCCACCTCCTGTAAGCCAAATCCAAGTATTTTTTACAGATAAATTAAAACTGGTTTTGAGTTCACTAGGATACTTTGCTTGTATAAAGCTGGCATGCTACAGATGCTTTTAGAACAAATACCTGGTCCCACTGAAGTCAGCAGCACTACCATGGACATCAGCAAGATCAGACCTAGAAGTTAAACGTTTCCCTGTGGTATAAGTACCTGCTTCTCTGTGCACTGTGGGTCCTTACCTTAAATATTACTGAGCTGAAAAGAACAGAGAAGTGTTTTAAAAACCTCTCGAAATGGGTGTCCTTGAATGGACAAAGCATTCTCTATCCTTTGCACCTGTAACATCACTAAACAGAGATGTTCCACAAAAATACAAAATAATAAATTAGTTCTCTTTTGCTAACAGATTAGGTGAATTAATTAAAAAGCCCTGAAGCATTCAGAAATGCATATCTGTTTTGCATAATCTCCTTGGATGTCTTTTAGCAAATTAATAAATGAAAGTTTATGATTTCCTTTCCCTTGTATTTCCCAACTAATGTGCTTATCTGTGAAATTCAGCAGTGAGAAAGGATAATTTTCTTTAATAGCTGTATGTGGAGAGCAAGGTACACAGAGAAGCCAGGTGTCTGTGTAGACTCTGCTGCAGATAGAACAGAGCTCAGTCTTTGCTGAGCTACAAACCTGCCAGACATAAACCACTTGCAGACTGGGAATGACACAGTTCCCCAGAACTGGACAGCATAGAGTACCTGGAGGTTACTCACAGTTATCACAGCATGGCCAAAAACCCAAGCACCAAGTGAACCAACTTGGGTCTCCTCAGGCTTCAAAAACACAGCCTAGGTTTGCAGGGAGTCACAGCAAATAACTGATCCAGTTCTCCCAGAGCCCCAACTCATAGCATGAGCCTCAGAACAGCCTTATTTTATAGAGTTGAAAAGTTCACATCTCATTTGATTTTGGGCAGATAAGGCAGTACTTACAGCACGTAGAACTTCTGCTTAGTGCCACTTAGGAGTTTACCATTAACTCGGGCTATTAAAAAGCATCATCCAGCAGGGAAGACTTGGATTCCAATATCTTTTTCTTTTCAATATTATTAATTTTTAATTGGTGGCTTTTGAACACTGCAACAATCCATAAAAGAAAATCTTTTGTATTTCTAGTATCTTTAATTTAAACTGTTGTATCTTGAGACCTCTGATCCTTTGCACAGAGCTCTTAAGAGCAGTTTGTTTGGCTTAATGAAATTTCTGCTGAGGAATAAGCTGAGGAGTTCCTAATGTGCCATTTTACTTAATGGTCCTTCTTTACACAAGAAACAACCAACGGGATTTCTCTTTGCTTTGGCAAGCTTTGAGCACCTACCCTTTCATCATTCTTTTATCTTGATCTTTTTCTAGCTCTGTCCCCAGATCGTGCAACAAAAGCTTTTGATGTCCCAGAGTTGTGCCACGTCAGACACCACAGAATTCTCATCACAAGCTCCTTAACTGGGCAAACTGCACTGCTGTGCCATGTAGAAATATACAGAGTATCCCCAGCTTTTGTAGCAGCCCAAAGACTGTAAAAAGGCAACATTACAAATTGAAGTAGACATCTCAACATTCATTTTTAGTTTATGTGGCTTTGGTTATCTTTGGTAGTTTCTCACATCCTTGTTAAAAACCGTTAACACTGTAGATACATATAATATATACACACATACACATTTTGTGAAAACTTTTATTTTTTAGATGCAGCATATTGTACTTCTTAGTGTGGAATATTGTATCTTGAGCACAAAAAGTCCTGCAGCTCTTCAGAAACCACTGAAGATTGAACATTCCGTTTGCACAGCTCTATCAGTAACAGCCTATGATTTATCTGACAGATGTTTCATATTGTTTGATAGGGAGAAATGCATCCAAGATTATAGCTTACATTTATAGCAAGATATTTGTGTAAACTCCTGGATGTACCAGTACATCTGGCTATGCTTAGTGTGAACTAAGACCTCCACAGCCTCTCTGCTGTTAGAGAGCTCTGCCTGTCTCACAAAGACATCACATGCCCTTCCTAAAAGGTCCAATAACCAAAGTTAAGAAATCATAAGATTTGATTTTTATGTTTATGGACAACCCCTCAAAACCCCTCAAAACCCAGAAAATATGACAATTCAATAAATTACTGTACCTGACACTTCACAGCATTAGTAGCAGACAGCAGCAGCTGGCTGATGCCAATAAATCCCTTAGGAATTGCTGTCATTCTCCAGGGAATGGTAGCATAAAAGCCTCAAACAGAGATTAGGCAAAAGAGCTGACCCAAACAACTGAAGATTCAACAATTAACTGAAAGTTGTGTATTTGCTGAAGGATCCAGCACAGTTGAATTTATTCCATGATATCACATGGCTAACAAAAACCTGAGGAGCCCAAAAGCAAAGCTGACAAGTATTTTGCTTACAAATAAACAATGCAAGAAGGCACATGCTGGCAAAATCGCTCAATGGGGAGAAGAGAGCAAGTGTCCTGGCAGCATACTCTCACCAAAATAAAAAGAAGTCAACAATTTCAGATTGTTTTTGAAAGGGAAAAGAATATTTTACCTGAATTAAATCATTTGAAAGATTCTAGAAAACTCTGCGAATATTCAAATCCTGGATTCTTCTGAGAACACAATGTGTACAGGGAGGATCAGAAGGCACATTTGTTTCTGATTTCCCTCCTATGCTGTCCTCCCTTTCTTTCCTGCTTAAGTGACAATGCTCCCCATGTTAATTCCACTTAGTGGATCCTCGGTTGTTACATAAAATGCTTTGAATGTATTTGTTGCAGATTTTCAACTTAGCATAGTTTGAAATGTGAGAATAAAAGTAATAAAAGATAATAAAATATGCAAGGCTGGCTCTGGTGTGGAAGGGTGGGATAAATGGCACATACCCCCTCGCTGCTAATTCTCTTCACTGGCAGGACATATGACAGGGCCATCCCTAATGTGTGCATTCACATACCTGAACCTGGATCTTCAAGTAGCCAGAACTTCATTTTCCCTCTGAAAATTCTTGAAGATTCATTTTTAGTCTTGTTTTTCAGGCTTCAGTGAATTCTTAGATTAATGGCCTCTGGAATTTTTAAAGAACATCTATGTTAGCGTTTATTGATAAGAGTCAGTGAAGTAATTTCTCTCTGTTACATTCTGAAAAAATAATTATGATCACGTGCAGCAGAAATTAGTTTTTCAGCTTTCTTAGTCTGGATGTAGACTTTTGAAATGTCATATCCTACAAACTAATGTTATGCCTATTACTAATTACAAAAGACATTTAAAACAGGTTTTAATGGGATAGGGTTCTTGTTATGTCTTCTGTGGTCTTGAACATCTTCATCATTGTCATAAATTGTAAAAGTTACTAAAAAAAATATTTATGCCATATTTAAGGTTTAATTTGCAGCATCTAAATTTTTAAACATTTTAGGTGTTTTTAATCTACTAGCCATAACTTCACCTACTTTTAGGAAAAATAACTAGGTCTCTAATGATTGAGTTTCTTTTAACATTTCTAAACGGCTTTAAAAGCAGACTTGTATTTTTATTGCCTTAGCCAATTTAGAATGAACAGAAGTTTCTAGACTTCAATTTTATTAAACCTACCACTCACCATCATTCCAAATATTAAAAAAACATTGCTAATAATTGCACAGAAGAAGAGCTACAGCTCGACATAGTTTGTTATATGAGAACAAACAAAAAATGCATTCTTTGCTTAATACTCAACACAAATTCTAAGGCTGCTGTTGCAGGCCACAAGAAAGCAGAGAGGTAAAATTCGATTTAGTCAATAAATGCTACCTAATATCTGGAGTTTAATTATAGGAATAAAGCAGAACACAATCATGCCAATTTTCATCCCAATAGAGGTATTTTGAAACACAAGCAGGCAGTTCTAAAGTGACCCACAGACACATTACTGCACTCCAAAAATTGTTATTTTTAATTGTAACACACAAGGGAAATAGAGGAGAATTGCAACAGACAAAAAATACACGAGTAGCTACATCTCCTACCAGGACTGAAATGAAGGGCTCAGTGCAGGATTTAATCAGAATTCCCAATTAAAGGCAGCAAGACAAGACAAGCACAAGTGCAGGTTCCTGACTGCCCATCCTGGGCACAAGCATGGACTGTGCCGAGAGCTGAAAGACAAAGTCTGTAAGTCACAAAATCATTTGAACTGGAAGTGACCATAAAGCTCATGCAGTTCCATGGGAAGGAAAAAGTCCCCAGTCCCTCAAGTAAATTTCTTACAATATATTTTGATAGGACTTTATAAGTGAGAAGCTCTATAGAACTTGCCATTGAAGTAACAAAGCATTCAGAGAAAACTGAGAAAGGAAAGCATTTGTAATAGCAAAACTGAAATTCTGGGTGCTTTTCAAATTAAAATTTAGAACTGAAAATATGCTAATGGAAAGCCTACAGATGAAATAGAAGCCTAAAAGATGCTTATGACTCTGTGCTGCATTAATGGCCTTCCCAGCCTAACAGTATTTGTGCCTTTAAAGATCTTGTCAAAACACTTCAGTGCATTTTTATTATGAGTGCTATATTATTCAGATTCTTTCCTTTCCATTTCACTTGGTAAAATAATTTCCATTACAGATTTTCAAATCAAGGCAGGCAGGGGATGTTGAATTGGAGCTGGAAGTGCAAGAATCCATAATACTGAGGAAGTTTATTTTGCTGAATTGGCCTTAGACTCTAGTTCAATAAGAACTACATTTTTACAACAGAACTCTGCCTCTGGAAAGATGTGAAAGTTAAAGACAAGATCTATACTCACATAAAGGACAAGCTTTCAGTTTATTTATGTTTTGTGAGGGATATGACTTCATCTCTTCCCATCATATATCTTCTCATCATGTTTGTGTAGTATAGGGCAGAATAATCCCCGGTGCTACATAAACAACGGATAATGAGTGAGTGCACGTAATCCGTCTCCAACAATTCTATTATGATTTCAGGAGTTACCTGGAAACCACCCTGAAAACATCTGTGCAGAAATACAGTGAAAGAGAGACATAGAAATTACATTTCCTTTTCTTCTAATTAGACCTATCAGAGCCCCATCTCTTTTCCAGAACATAATGAAGTGTCATTAGCTGGAGTGGGATCCTGTCTGACAGAACTGTTGAATTTCTTTTGATTTATAGCATAGACTGTCTGCTGCATCTATTGTGAGCCTGCCTGGTTTTGTCTGCTTGCCTTGGGAGCCAGGAGGAGCCGTGCACTGCTGCTGGCACCGAGCAAAGCCAGAGAGGTTGGGCAAGCAGGGACAGCACTTCCAGTTGTGACACTTCAGGCACAGGAAGGAGCTCTCAGGACTCCCCAGAGCATTCTCTTCTCCAGGCTTAACCTCCTTAAGCTCTCTCAGCCTTTCCTCATAGAAGAGCATCTCCAGCCCTCAGAGCCTCCCCTCAACACGCTCCAGCTGTTTCAACAACAAACCCTGCTTGGTTGACAGGGGCATTACTTTGAGATGGCATTTCACAAGGCCAGATCCAACACCCAGTTATCTGGTTTTATAACTGGATGGCAATGACCTAGTTTCTCAGTGCTCTGCCTAAAAGGCTGACTCCAACAACAGTTTAAATCAGAGCCTCAGTTCAATGGAGGAGCAATCTGACTCCAGGGAGCAGCACAGTGGTGTGATGCCCCCTTGTCAGGGAAATCTGGGTTTTCTGAGAACAGCAAGTCTCTGAGCAACACAGCCACATGTTTGAGGAAAAAGCAGTGTGCCAAGTCATACTCATGTCATGTACTCATTGACATGGCCAAATACTGTCCCATATATCTGGCTTTCTGATCACTTCTAAAATATTCCAGTCAGCCACAAAGTGTCAAACACTTCCTCGGAGAAGCGGAGCTCCTGGAGACATGACTGAAACGTTCGTGCCTGTGGGTCATTCTGCCACTGTATCCTGCATGCTGCCACAAGAACCTCTCTCAGCTTAGGAAATTTCGGCACGTTTTCCCAAAGTTAATAAGCATTCCAACAAATTTCAATGGATCAAGTTACTTGAGGCCAAATGTTTATGTTTCGCCAAAGCCCAAATAAAACGTGCAACTGCAAACACAGTGGTAAGTCGTGGTAGGAATGTGAGGCAAATATTTGACTTCTACATGTCAACCTCAGTCTATGTTTATGACCAAGTCCCTCTCCTGGAGGGAACTGACTGGGAATCCCACCAGACACAAGGTATTCTGTGTGTGCTCCACAGGCATTGCTCTCCTTGCATGAAGGACAGCGTGGCCACGGGGTGAGCAGCTCCCAGGGACCTTAGGAATGGCCCAGAGGTCAAACCACAAAATTCAGGTGCATAATCCTTATGAAGGCAAAATATGATTCCAAGGGCAATAATGGATCACCAGTCCACTCCATACTTCCTTTGGTTTGGTTTAAAGCTGCAGCAGTGAGTCCATAGCTCAGCCTGTGACAGCATCAGCCACGGGGGAAACAATTGGAGTGCTCTGCTTGTATTCACACAGCAGACCCAGCTTCATGTAACCTGCTCATTAAACAATCATGTAAAATTACAGAAGTAGGGAAAGAAAACTCCATAGTGTTTGGAAGATAGACTTGGATACATTTTGAAGCCACTGTTCCCATTTGCATATAATATTGCTGAGACTAAAGCAAAGACTCTGAGTTGCATATTATTCCTCTATCTCTGTACAACATTTCAATCCAGCTACCCCATAAAACCAAAGACAATTCATTTCCAAACTGTTGATAGTGCACATGTGAAATTCACCTTATAAGAGAAGGATGAGACAAGCCCCAGGATTTTTGTGGAGGTCAGAGAGGTAAAGATTGAACATATTTATCTTATGCTGCTCTCTGTTGCCCTTGAGGAATATGGGACACACTGTCTCAATTATTACTGATTTTATTGTTACTCCTTTTCGCTTTTGTGATCTTGTTAGACTGTTCCTCCTTTAAATGGGCAAGTGTGCTAAGCAGGAAATGACAGCCTATAGTCCTTTACCTCCTAAACGCCTGATTTGGGTTAAATTGCTATTATTTACCAAGCTCAACATAGTGAACTTACAGTGCAAATAAACACAGCAGAAGATGGACAGAAGGGCATATAAAACACAAGCAAAACAGTGGAGTTGCATACTTATATTTGTTTCATCTGCTTTTATTTCCCTTCTCATTTATTTTATTCCTGTCCCTGATTCAGGCCTTGAATTTCGAGAAACACTGGACTTAATTTTTGATGTACAAAATCAGACAACTAAAAGATTAGCCATTTGTGAAATGCCTTCAAAAGCATCCTCCTGCCTATCTTAAAAGCTGCCCTTCAGACTGCTGGGGATGGATTTCCTCCCTTTACACAGAATGTCAAACAAATGTAATATATGTAATATATGTAATATATGTAATATATGTAATATATGTAATATATGTAATATATTACATATATTCAGAGCCATCGCTGCTATGGTGGCACCAGCATTCCTGTGAATAAGGACAGGTGGGTTACAGTACATAGGTTGTGTTTCCAGGTATTCAGGAGCTCATTGAGTCTAAATGTAGAACATCAGCACCCACTCTCCTGCAACTACAAGAGTACAAAGGGACCAGGGCACCTCTTCTCTTTGTGGGGACAGATCTCTCTTGTTTCTATAGAAAATGGAGCTGGCTCTCAATTTCGTACAATCACGCTCATATCTCAAGTGAACAGACACAACACTTCTGCTTTCCTGCTCTACTGTTCCTGCTGCTTCCAGATCTGCAATCAGACTAATCAGGCTGCTAAGAACTTTTCAGGGAGCACAAATGTTATTATCAATCCTTCTCTGGCTGCACAGCTAAGAGAACTCAGCAGCTCTCAGCCTGCACAGACCTCAGACACACAGCAAAGCACGGAACCTCTGACAATGGCTCTGAAATGGGAAGTGGCACAGCACAACTGGCCCTCTGAGGCTTTTAGCAGCAATCTCTGTGTAATGCCAAGCTGTGTAAAATACAGTGTAATTCAGAGTGTTCCTTTGCTACCAGAAGGAATAATTAATGCAAGCAGTTATTATGAAAGAACACAGCCAACCTCATTTGCA